TCTGCAGTACCCCTTACAATCAGGAGGTGATGATAGAGGCTCATTGAATCAAGGCTCTGCAATACCCCTTACAATCAGGAGGTGATGATAGAGGCTCATTGAATCAAGGCTCTGCATTACCGTTTACAATCAGGAGGTGATGTAAGAGAACCATTGACACAAAGGCTCTGCAGTACCACCTACAATCCGTAAGTGGCTTAAGAGGTTCATTGAATTAAAGTCTCTGCGGTACCCCTTCCAATTATAAGTGGTACTACCTCTTACAATCAGGAGGTGGCGATAGGGGTTCATCTGAATGTTTTGTTTGCTCAGTAAACAAATGAATTGGCAGGCTATGCCTGGACAGGATGTGTGTATGCCATGCTTGTAAACCTCAAATGATTCCCCTTCTTTTCGGTTGAATTTTAGTATCTGCAGTATATGACCAGCCTCTATTGACATGTTTTATTATTGTTGGGCTGTCATTAGCCAATCATTGGCACCACATGGGCTTCCTGTAATAAAGACCGGTCACTGCTGCTCTCTCTTCTTTTGTAGGGTCACTGGTCTTGTCTCGACCCACTCCTGTAATAAAGACCGGTCACTGCTGCTCTCTCTTCTTGTGCAGGGTGACTGGTCTTATCTCCGCCCCCTCCTGTATTGAAGACCAGTCACTGCTGCTCTTTCTTCTTGTGCAGGGTGACTGGTCTTGTCTCCACCCCCTCCTGTAATAAAGACCGGTCACTGCAGCTCTTTCTTTTTGTACAGGGTGACTGGTCTTGTCTCCACCCCTCCTGTAATAAAGACCGCTCACTGCTGCTCTTTCTTTTTGTGCAGTGTCACTGGTCTTGTCTCCACCCCCTCCTGTAGTTTTCTGCAGGCAGTTTGTAGTGGGTGGGGCCTATTGGATCCCTCCCATAGCTCTCCTCGCCTCTGCACAGGCTCTGTATAGCACAGTAATCATATCACCACCACTTTTCTAGGTAATATCTTGGTTTGTAAATACATCTGGTGCACTCACTGTGTTTTTTTTAACCTTTGTGACTTATGAGGAAGATATTTAAATGTAATTATGTGTGCTTGGAGTACAGCTTTAAATCGGTATCATCTATTCATGGCATTCTGGTATGGGGTATATACAGTACACCATTGCCCTCCAAGACAATAGTCTCTGCTACCAGGCTTTGATACTGTGCCTTGGCATCAACCAATTGATTTCAGCCACTGGCTCTGATGCCGCTCGAGACGTCCCCATGCAGTTTCTATATCAATCCTGAGCATGAAAATGGAAACACATACCACTTAAACATCATCAGACAGATAAGAACACATATGGCATCTAGAAAATCTTGATTGGACACTTCGGATGCATTGGTTGCCTTTTGCCCAGATGGTTCCAGCGTTTGCTGCTGCTATACAATGTCTATGGGTCATGTCAGCGGTATTGGTGTGCAAATAGAGGGGAGGGATGGAGATGACAGATCTGACTGGGAGCCCAGTGCTGAATAATTCACAGGGTTTCCCGGACAGGCCTGGAAAGCCGGGGCGCACCACTTTCAAGTCTTTTCCTGGGAAGAAATTAAGATTATTCAGTGAATAATTAAAAAACAAAAAATCAAACATTGATGGTTTTATCCCCAATCCCCCCATTATGTGCTCTGCAACTGACTGGGCACATCAGACGCTTCCTCTGATGTACATGCGCACAGGCTTGCTGATAATCTCCTCCTGACAACCGCAGGAGAACCTTTATTTGGAGGGTTTGTGGTCACGTGACCACCAGTAAAATCATAAGAAAGGTATTTGTGTTGCAATTTTTTTTAAGCATGGGGGGGTTGATACACATTGTCCCGCCAACTATTTTGAGGGCCAAATGCAACCAAATATGCGGTTCTCGGCTTGGGGGCCAAAAACAGGTAGAGAATAAACATTTTCCATAGTTGATTCTGGCTTTAGACTTATCCATCACATGTCTAATCACTACGGCACGGCGCCATTGGTTGCCTAGACACTGGCGGCCCCACAGCTCCGTATGTTGTTAAGTCACACCTGCCTGCATCTTTGCAATCAATGCAGCTCAGCCACCAGTCAACTAAAGGCGCCATGTGACTCAACCACTAGTCAACTTATGGTGCTGTGAAGCTCAAACACCAGTCAACCGATTGCACCGTATGGCTCAGCCACCACTCAACCAATGGCATCGTATGGCTCAGCCACCACTCAACCGATGGCACCATGTGGCTCAGCCAACACTCAACCAATGGCATCGTATGGTTCAGCCACCACTCAACCGATGGCACCATGTGGCTCAGCCACCAGTCAACCAATGGTGCCTCGTGCATCCGCCACCACTCAACAGATGGCACAGTGCGGTTCAGCCACCAGTCAACTGATGATACCTTGCGGCTCAACTACCAGTCAACCAATGGCGCAGTGTGCCTCAACCACCAGTCAACTGATGGCATCTTGCAGCTCAACCACGAGTCAATCCATGGCACTGTGCAGCTCATCCACCAGTCAACCCATGCCACCATGTGGCTCAACCACCAGTCAACCGGTGACACCTTGTGGCTCAGCCGCCAGTTAACCTATGGCGCAGTGAAATTCAGCCACCAGTCAGTCAATGGCACCTGGTTACTAGGACCAGGGGTACATTGGTTTTGGTGGATGAACTGGTCAAGTCATTTCCCCATTCAGTGAGCTGTAAACAGCTTTGGTTCAGGTCAAACTCACTGTTGACCCGGAGCTGAAGCTCATCCCTACCATCTAGGAGATAACTGAACATTCTTTGGAGAGATTTCCTCCATCTTACAGATAAACAGCATGCATGGTGCATAAAAAGGAAGATACAACATATTTGGTTCACATGTTTGGTTTTAGGAACATATTTCACCCCAATAACCGATACTTCCTGTATGGGTTCTAATGAGTACTCTGCATACAAGCTTACCAGTGAACACAACTCCAACCCATCAGGGCCCCATTCACCCCAGCACGTGACCGCTTGTGTGCGCTGTGGAGGATGCAGTGCAATGCGCTGATTACAGTCACCACGCTGCTACCTTTTTTTTTACTTGAGTGAAAAGTCACCGATTGGCATTGCATTCATTTCTATTTCCCTAACCACAGCGCTGAAAAAAAGTACGGTGCGCCCTGCTTTTTTTTTCTTTGCAGAGCACATCACTGCGGTGAACTGACATCATAGGCAGGGGTGTCCCTAGACTTTTTGCCAAAAAAAAAAGGGTAGGGGGGCTGGGGTGCTGCTGGTGCATGGTACCTCTGGCTCTGGCTCCAGCATCCCACCCAGCTCACTGACGGTGAACTGACATCATAGACAGGAGTGTGCCTAGATTTTCAACACCTGGGGCCGGGAGGTGAGGGGGTATGTGTGGGGTGCTGGTGGTGCCAGTTTCCGGAGTGGGGATGGAAGTTGGGGTACTGCTGGTGCATAGCAGCTCTGGCTCCAGCATCCCACTCAGCTCACTGACATCACTAGTTGCCAGGACCTGGGACGATTTGGCCGGAAAGAGGGCAACACACGACCCAATGAGATGCCGCCTGAGGCTGCCTCATTAAAGGGATGGCCATGATCATAGGGCGCATAGCAAAATCACCTTGTCTATGCATTGGAGCTGCATTGGGCATCTAGCATGACCCTTGTCTATGCATTGGCGCTGCGTTGGGCATCTGGCATGAACCGTGTCTATGCATGGGGGCTGCCTTGGGCATGTGGCATGAACCATGTATATGCATGGGGGCTGCCTTGGGCATCTGACATGAACCGTGTCTATGCATGGGGCTGCCTTGGGCATCTGGCATGATCCATGTCTATGCATGGGGCTGCCTTGGGCATCTGGCATGATCCATGTCTATGCATGGGGGCTGCCTTGGGCATCTGGCATGAACCATGTCTATGCATTGGGGCTGCATTGGGCATCTGGCATTACCCTTGCATTGGGGCTGTGTTGGGCATCTGGCATTACCCTTGCATTGGGGCTGCGTTGGGCATTGGTGCTGCGTTGGGCATCTGGCATGAACCTTGTCTATGTGTTGGGCATCTGTCATGAACCGTGTCTATGCATTGGGGCTGCGTTGAGCATCTGGCATTAGCCTTGCATTGGTGCTGCGTTGGGCATCTGGCATGAACCTTGTCTATATGTTGGGCATCTGGCATGAACCGTGTCTATGCATTGGTGCTGCGTTGGGCATCTGGCATGAACCTTGTCTATATGTTGGGCATCTGGCATGAACCGTGTCTATGCATGGGGCTGCGTTGGGTATCTGGCATGAACCTTCTCTATGGATTGGGGCTGCGTTGGGCATCTGGCATGAACCATGTCTATGCATTGGGGCTGCGTTGGGCATCTGGCATTACCCTTGCATTGGGGCTGCGTTGGGCATTTGGCATGAACCTTGTCTATGCATTGGGGCTGCTTTGGGCATCTGGCATGAACCTTGTCTATGTGTTGGGCATCTGACATGAACCTTGTCTATGCATTGGGGCTGCTTTGGGCAGCTGGCATGAACCTTGTCTATGCATTGGGGATGCGTTGTGCATCTGACATGGATGGAACCTTATAAACACCTTTAAAAAAGGTGAAAGAAATGCAAAATTAAAATAATAATAATAATAGATGAATAATAACTAATACAAATAAGGATCTGCTGCCCCCGGCATGCCACAGGTCTGAACCAGGAAAAAAAGGCCCTTTAAAATATAAAATAAATGAAGATCAGTAAGGGCCCCGGGCCCCGGAGCTGTCCTCACGAATTCACAACTTCCCTGCACAGGTTTTATTAAAAGCAGCGAAAGGAGAGAGAGAAAGAAATAGGAGGCAGCCCCTCGCGAGGCGTCACAACAAGAGATCTCCTTTTTGGGAGTCCCTCGGCTACATCCTGTCTCCATATATGGGCATTTACGTCACGGCGGCATCATTGGAGACTCCTGAAATGGAGAGCTCCCCAGCAGCGGAAGATCAGAGGCAGCGCCTGCTGCATATATAAGGCGGCTGCGGAGCCGGAGAATGGTTACACACAGCGCACAGAGCCAGCCTGCAGCATCCTCATACACACAGGGAGAGAGACCAGAGGGGGGCTGCCTACCATTAGCACTTGTATAGGAGCCCTTCATCTATGCATCTGAGAAACATGGAGCCCTCCTGCCAGGACTCTTTTTATCCCAAATTTCAGAAGGATGGTGACCTGAAGGAGGAGGGGGACCCAGCACTGGGGTCACCGGGAGAGCAGCCAAGAGCAGCCTCCCAGGCCAGGGAGGACCCAGGGGTGCACATCGATGAAGGTAAGCTGATGCATAGCGTGCTGCATATTGCTGCGTTTTTTTTCCTCCTATATCTGTATATGGTGGAATAGGGGAGCTAAAAATAATCCAGATAAATTCCTTCGGTCACCGCTCTCTCTGCGATAACGCGCAGGGAATTAACACTTTAAGGCGACAAGCCTCCTGCTAAATGTGTAAATGTTTCATGGGGAGATGCATTTTTTTTGTATTGTTTTTAATCAGTGGTCTGCGATCCTTCATTCTCAGTGCAGTAGCTGCAATTCCAAACCGGACTTGCATGCACTGGCCTCCAAAAAGGATCATTTAGTTATAGATGGGTTGAGCCAGCCCCTCTGACTACTTATGTCTTGGGCATTCCAACAACAAGATCCCCTTGCAAAAATTTGCAGGGTTCCTCCACATGGGCAATGGGCTGAGTTAGCCCCTTACTGCTTATGTTTTGGGCATTTCAAAAGCGAGATCCCACAGCTATAATTTCCAATGTTCCTCTACCAGGGGGATGGGCTGTGTCAACCCCTGACTGTTTATGTCTTGGCCATTCTAACAGCAAGATCCCCCTGCCAAAATGTATAGTGTTCCTCTACCCGGTAGATGGAGCTTATTCAGCCCCTGACTTTTCATGTCTTGGGAGATCCCTCTGCTAATATTTCCAATGTCCCTCTACCTGGGAGATGGGGCAGAGTCAACCCCTGGCTGCTTATGTCTTGGGCATTCCAACAGCAAGATCCCCTTGCCGTAATTTCCAATGTTCTTCCAACATTTCTCCACCTGAGAGATGGGCTGAGTTAGTTGCTGACTGCTTATGTCTTGGGCAGTCCAACAGTGAGATCCCCCTGCTATGATTTTCAATGTTTCCCTACCTGGAAGGTGGGCTGAATCAACCCCTACCTGCTTATGCCTTGGGCATGCCAGCAGCAAGATCCCCAATTTCCAGTGTTCCTCCTCCAGTGAGTTTTGGGTGTTCTCACACACCGTTGTGTGTTTTAAGCTTCTGCTTTTGCATTCAGTAGGGATGGTGGGATCCCCTGATAAAGGAGCGCAGCAGGTGTTCAGACACGGGAACTCAATACATGAATGTCTTAATGATAGAGTCTTGTTAGGGGGGGTCAGTCTTCAAATCTCTGAGATATCAGGTTTGGATGGACTGACCCTTTAAATTATAAAGGAGGCAAAGAGAAGAGTGGGATAAGATCCTACCTGCAGTGGATTGGCAGCTCATATAGTGTCATGTTTCATACACCAGTAGGGGGTCGAGGAGGTTTTAAGGCAGCTTGGGCTTTTGTCATCGTTGGCATTGTGACACAGTGAGGGGAAAGCAGTCACATAGCTTGGGGACAATACTAGAAGGAAGGACTGTATGCACAGGGTTAACTGCATTGGAAGATGTGTTGACTTCTCCTCGAACTCTTAGAGCACTGATGTCAGATTTTGGGGAAGGGGAAGAGTACATACATTTTTATTTTGCAGTAGGTTATTCATTTGTGATGACTAAAAATGTTGGAGCTGTTAAATGTCACAAGTCTGCATGGTGGGGGAAGATGCAAAGCATCATATTCACTCAGTTCTTTTTATTTGTCCCTCAGGAGCATTTGGAAGCCCATCCAATGAAGAGAATCCTGACTACTTCTTCCTGAGCAGTCAGCCCTCCCCGCCCCTCCCTCTGAACTACTCCGGGAGTTTCTTCATCGAGACAGGACCGGAGAACTCCAATGAACAGGAGGCGCTCTTTAATCTGATGTCTGGCATCCTGGGTCTCTCGCCTTTCTCTGCACCCCACAAGGTCCATCGGCAGGAGACACTCTATACCATTCCTGAGGCCCTACAGAACCACATGGACCTTTACTCTCAGCCCAACCTCAACATTTCTGTCCAGCAAGGATACCCTAGCCAGCTGTATTCTGCCTTCAGTAGTACAGAGGACCTCCATCAGGTGCCCAGCTCCCCCAACCTGGGCAATTCCTGCACCAACCAATGTTTCTTTGAGTCTAAAAATATGCCAAGCAAGCACGAAATGGACTTATCTCCCATCTCCCCCTCCTTGGATTCATTTAATGCCCAATGGGAGCCCCAGACGTCTCAGAACTTTACTGTAACTTCTTACCCCTTGGAGGGATTTTTGCCCTCTGAAAGCTCCCCGACTGTGTTTCACCCACTTGAGTCTAAGGTGGAGAATATGATGTCTGCCTGCTGCCAGCCTCACATGAATGGTGTGATGGAGGAGTCGGTTATGTACAACACTATGGACTTCTCCTGCCAGTCAGAGGCATTCCAGACCTCCCCCTGTGACTTTGCTGAGACCAAGATTGACTTAAAATCTCAGATTCTACTTGATGCCAAGTACCAGCTGAGCCAGCAGATGCAAGGGCTGCTTAACACAGAGGAGACCCTTCAATCTTCCCCAGCTATCTCCACGGATTTTCTAGGTCTTTCGCCGACAGCTGACACCATCCCCCAACCCAGTTCTGGCAACTCCCTGACTGAGCCCAGGAGGAAGTACCGCCGAAATAAGTTTCCAGCAAAGTGCTTTCGCCCCAAACCCCACGAGAAGGCTTTTGCCTGCCCGGTGGAGAACTGTATCCGGAGCTTTGCCCGCTCGGATGAGCTCAATAGGCACTTGAGAATCCATACCGGACATAAGCCCTTCCAGTGCCGAATCTGTCTGAGGAACTTCAGCCGCAGTGACCACTTGACCACCCACATCAGGACCCACACCGGGGAGAAACCTTTCTCTTGTGACCTCTGCGGCAGGAGGTTCGCCAGGAGTGACGAAAAGAAGCGTCACGGCAAGGTGCACTTGAAGCAGAAGGCCAGGACTGAGGAGAAGCTCAAGGGCCTTGGCTTTTATTCCATGGGCTTGTCCTACCCCACCCTGTGAGGCAAACAAAGACTTGATTTGGTCTGAGCTCACCTTTCACCTTGGAGATGTTGCCTCCAACCGGTCTGTCAGCTAGTCCCAGTTCTCTTCTGGATGACCTGGCCTGATTTGTAGCTCGACGGTCACCTGCATGGCTCAGTATTCTGTTATCTTTACAGCGTGATATATACATAACTGTAAAACCCAATGTATACTTATCATCTAAGCACTGTTTTAGTAGCTGTTACTTTGGCTATATGGCCAGCCGAGTTCCGGAGCTTACTCCAGCACCACAGAGGCGGACAGCTCCCGTGTAGGCCTGTAGTCATAGCCATCTACTTATGACTGAGGCGCTGTTAATCATCTAGCACTAGCTGATCACAAACCCAACAATGATTACCAACGAAGTACTGGAGCTTACTTTGGCACCACAGACGTGGGCCGCTCCTGAGTCGACCTGTAGTCGATGCCACACGCTTGTGATTCAGGTGCTGTTGACCACCTCCGTCTAAGTATATAATGCCACTATGACTACATTGCCAACCAAGTTCTTGAGCAAGTTCAGCACCTTTGAGCCGGACAGCTCCCTCTTAAGCCTGCAGTCTAAAGCCAATGAAACGAGTACAAGGAGCAGAGGAAAGATACAGAGCCAAGTTCTCTGGTATGTACAAGGAACAATGCATGAAATGACCTTGAGCGTCATAGAAAGACTTATTTATATATATGAACTCCTCACATTGTTGTAGGAAACCTTTGTAGTTGATATGGACTTATCCCCCCCCCCAACCCCCAGACCTCTGTTGTCAGGCACTTAGTAAGCTGGTTTCCAGTCTGTGATTGATGCTGCTATTGTACAAAAACTGATTCGAACACACTCCATGATTATTCTGATTTTATTTTTTCTCTCGCTGCTGTAAGAGGACTGTGTTGAAGATTTGTACACAGATGGTTTTAGTCAGCTTACATTGAATTTTATCATTTTGTTTTGTAAGCAGGAAAAAAAATGTTCAAATGAAAACAGAAATTGTCTATTTTTTCAAAGAAATAAAGTTGGCTGTGTCCCACAAATGTTCTGGTGTCTTCTTAAATTGTACAAATGATACAATTGCGGTAATTATAATTGAAATGAATTACAGTTATAATGTACACTTTTTTTTTGCTGGTCGTTACGTCGTCCGTCTAGGGGTGTCCGTGTAAACTGGATCTTGATTCCACGTGAAAATAGATAGATACTGAAATGAGTTACCTTTATTGGACAAAAATATGTGGGCCCAGAGGCGTCCCGAGGTCGGGTGTCACCCGGGGCGTAGAAGGGGTGACAACCCACCGTGCAGAAGGGGACAGTCACCCGGCGGGATAAGGTATGCCGCCGGGTCCCCTCCTCTCTCCTGATACTGTCGGGCGTTCGGTCCATGACCGAGCGCCCGACTTTTCAGAGGGGGGTGACACCAAAATGACTGAGTCATTTTGGTGTCACCCGGGTGCGGGCCGCACCCCCCTTGTGACGCCACTGCCACCGTGACGTCTTATTGACGCCTGCCGGCAGCCATCTCGGTGATGGACGGCGGCAGAGAGAGCAGGGGACGTTCACCCGGCGGGATGCGGTATGCTGCTGGGTCCCCTTCTCTCCCCTGACACTGTCAGGCTCTCGGTCCATGACCGAGTGCCCGACTTTTCATAGGGGGTGACACCAAAATGACTGTCAGTCATTTTGGTGTCACCCCCCCAATGGTGGCACCCGGGTGCAGGCCGCACCCCCCTTGTGACGCCACTGTGTGGACCCCTTCTGAATGTCTTCAGTGAAAGGTTCTGTTAATACTACAACATACAAAGACATTTAGACAATTGTGCTTTTCCAACCTTATGGTAACAGTTTGGTGAAGACCCTTGTATGTTCCACCATGACTGTCCCCCTGTGCATAAAGCCAGCTCCATACAGACATGGTTTGAGGAGTTTGATGTGGAGGATCTACCAAAGCAGGGCCAAATGTAGAAAACAACTACCCGCCCAGCACCCGGAACTGCATGTCCCGGGCGTCGGGATATAGGAATTCCACACCCCTGCTGCCCGTCTACTCCCTGCTGCCCATCTACTCCCTGCTGCCCCAAGGCCGGGCCTTGGTTGGCCTTGTGGCAAATCCGGCCCTGAACTCAAGTGTCCTGCACAGATCCCTAATGAACACCTTTGGGATGAACCACCAAATGACAATCAGGTCTTATGACCACCATGAGTTCCTGACCTTACAAATGCTCTTTTGGCTGATGGCCATGGTTTTGGAATGGGATGTCCAAAAAGCTTATATAGCTTGTGATGGTCAGGTGTCCACAAATGTTTGTCCACATGCATATGTGTTAGTGAATTATACTTCTACCAGATTAACAATAAATGAACATCTTTGGGTTTCAATGAAAAAAACACACCTTTAAATAATAAAAATAAAAGAACAGATACTGTATACCGCTGGAGTGTCTTACTAACTGGAGAGCCAATCAGAATCTCTCCCTTAAAGGGGGACCTTTAGTCTGGTTTGGTATTTCCACAATTGTGCTATATACCGTGTTTCCCCGAAAATAAGACACTCTTATATTTTTTTTTGGCTCAAGAAAACACACACTAGGTCTTATTTTCAGGGTAGGTCTTATTTGATTTTTTTTAATGTACAACAATTCACACTTATTCATGTAGAAAAATATAGTGATCAAGGCAATCAGGGGTTCCGTACCTTTCCAAGAGCAATTTGCTAACCAATCGCTGGCCAGAATGAGCGAATCGCTGGCTTAACTGGAACAATCAATGTGTGTCCAGTGCTGGCAAAACTAAAAGGCACGAGGCTGACGGAGGCTGGGTCTGTGTGGAACGAGGAAATCAAGGCTACACGTTTCGAAGTAACTCACTTCTTTTTCAAGCCAGGGAGTGTGGAACATATCTCCAATTTAACCCCTCAAGTGTAGCGCTGTATCCTGGCATGCTGTCCTTTTAACTTTCCATATTTACGGAGTGCATTTGGTATCACTCCGGTGACAGGAACCGGCGCTATAGAGGAGGCATCGGCTTATGCGGCTCTGCTCCCTCCGGTGCCGCTCACTTCCTCTAGTGCTGGCTTCATGGCACCGCTGATTCTCTCCCGCAGCTCTTCAAGTTCCCCTCTTATGCCACCACCGGCCCTGGGAATGGTCACAACTAGGTCTTATTTTCGGGGTAGGTCTTATATTTTAGCAATTCCCCAAAATTAGTACTAGGTCTTATTTTCGGGGAAACACAGTATACAGATTTGTACATTTTCCCCTGTCAGCAGTTTGTCAGTCATAAAGACGGCCTGGCTGACAACTGCCAACCTCAAATCTCAGACACACAGAGAGCCTTGCTTACAGCTTGTGCTGTGCAGCACTACCAAGCACATATTGGCTATGTATATGGTATGATATGTACCGCATATGTCTGCTCCCATTTACATTTTATAATTACAAGCAATGCAAAGAAACAATGGGGGGTTGGAAGTACGGGGGGAGACTACCAAAGACTGATGCATGCCAATAAATGCTTCCGTTTTTATATGCTTCCTAATTATTATTACTATTATTATTATACAGGATTTATATATCGGCAACAGTTTGCACAGCGCTTTACAATATAAGGAAGACATTACAATCACAATACAATTCAAGGCAAGACGGTAAGGACAGAGCCTTTGGGGACTCCTACAGAAAGAGCAAGAGGAGGGGAGGAGTTAGATTTGTAGGTGACACTAAAGGAGCGCTTAGATAGGTTAGAAGAGAACCACGAGAGAGCCGAATCTTGCAGGCCAAGCGAGTGGAGTTTTTTGAGGAGCAGCGGGTGGTCCACAGTGTCAAAAGCAGCAGAAAGGTCTAATGGCGAGAGTAAGGAGTAGTGGCCGTTGTTTTTAGCTGTTAGATTGCCCGCCTTTTTGGGTCTGGTTCGTAGTCCTGTACGTAAATTACAGGAAGTTGTCTCCTGTTAGACGTGCAGACGAGGTGTGCCCACCTCCTCTTCCTGGTCACTGTGAGGTTTCTACTGCTGTCTGTATCCTCATTAGAAAGGTTTAATCTCACTTCCTGTCCTTGAGACCACAGGAAGTGAGGGAAATTCACTCCTGTAAGAGTGATCAGGGGGTAAAAGGTGTCTCCATTGAAGCTTTATCGCCAATCCTTGTTTCCACGACAACCCCAAATGTTCAAAATCCAATTGTCACAGGGACAGAAAGGGAGGTGAAATCTTCTGAAGAGGGGCACACACAGCAGAACAGACTTTACAGGGGGTTAACCCTTCCCTGTGCTATCCAAAAACATTTTTTGGCTGTCGTTACACTTAAAAAACGTACCTGTTCCAACTTACATACAAATTCTACAGTCCCTATCTTGTTCGTAACCCGCGACGACTGCCTGTAATAATAATAATATAAATATTCTATAAAAGTGTTCCGTAGTTGATGGTTTTCCTCTCATTGAGCCGCCGGCTGACGACCTGTAATCACCGGTACGGAAAGTCTTCTTTATCCTCTAATAACAATATTACGTATCGATCTGGTCCGATTAATAATGACAAAGCTCCTGGCGAATCGATCGGCCCGGTAGCTGCGACGTAACAATGGCGGCGCTCGGTGTGAGGTAAACAGCCGCCAGCGCTAAAGTGGTCGGGGTTACGCAATAATGACTCGAATGTTCTGCGCTCCGAAAAAAACACGCCGTGGGTTCCCTCTAATCAGGTCGGCAGATTGCGCGCCGTCGCCGAGTCCTCGTCGGCTTCTGCAAAGATGTTTTCCCGCAGTTTCAGCTACTTGAAGGTAAAACTATTAGCTGAATTGCACCACTGGGAACTTCTATTGTTTGACACGATGGAGACTCTAGTTGCAGCGGGTACAGTCGGTAAATACGAACAGCCTACGGATCTCTGCGGCATATCACGAAAGACCCGCACAGTGCTGTTTGAAGCCGCCAGGAGACACGAGGGCCCCTTTTCCCACCCAGGATGGAAGCGTGAAGCATTTTTAGCTCTCGAAACGCGTGTTGGAGTGTGTTTTGGTTTACGGTTAATGCGAAGCGGTGGAGAAACATTGGAGGATATTGACTTCCTGCGGCGCGAAGCAGCTAAAAATGCACTTTTTGTGTGTTTACCGTTCACTTCAATGTACCCACTACAAGTCAATGTGAATCCGATGGCTGGAATCTTACATACTGCACTACAGTATCAGGGGGTGACAACTAAAACCATTACAACAAATGGGAAATAGTATTCAAGACCACAACCGTCAATGTTTAAATGAAAATTAATATGCTAGTAGTCCATACTGC